AAAGTAAGCAGCGGCGGTGCAGACTAAGTTGGAGATGTCAGTCTAAAAGACTGATTATATCCACATTGTTCTAGCAGGCCTGAAGTGTACATTTGTGTCCACATTGGGTGTGTCACCACCACTGGAACGCTTTATGACTAAGTTAGGTGTTGTTTATAAGCAACATAAAACACTTTATACTGGCTAAAATCAACTCGTTTTTACAACAATCAAAGATCACTTCTTGACTGGTTTCCTCATGGACTAAATTCCATAAAAAACGAATGTAAAAAAAGAAAACATTTTTACTTCTCTCCTCTGCGGCCACCTTGTTTCTTGTCCCTGCTGTTAAAGATGAAATGCAGGCTCCAGCTCACACTACTAATACCTGGCAGTGAAGTGTCTATTGAGGATTGTGCAGGTCAGGCACTGTCTTCAGTTTCTTTATTGTAGTGATCATTTATTTGTATCTGTCTCAAAGAGAGCAAGTTGGGTCAACTGAGAAATTTAGAAATACAAAACAATATTATGATAGCTGTGGAATCAAGTGTCTGTCTGAGCTTGTGGGCTGGTTTAATAATAGGAACTAAATAGAGACAAGAGAGAAGCTTCTAGTCTTTGATCGATCCACCAAAAAGATTTTTTTTCTTCTCGTCGTCTTCTCTGCATTTTAAATCCACTTCCCAAACCTGAAGACAATCAACTCTCTTTAAAAACCCAGAGTTTCTTCAGATCCGTTTTGTCATTTTTCTAAATATTGCCCATATAAAACAAAAAGCAAAGGTGCAAGTGGCCTGACTCAGACAAGAACCCAGTGTGTTCACACTCTTCTGCCCTTCTCCCCAATTTATCCTCAATCACAGCAAATACTTTTTTTTTTTAGCCATTCTTTAAATGACCTTGGAGACTGCAGTGTTACTAACATTCAGGATTGCCAACAGAATTCAATGGTGGCTTTTAGGACACAGCACAAAGTGCAGCACAAAGTGCCAGAAACGGGAAGTAAAAAACAGGAACTAAAAACAAGCTCTAGTTTTGTTTGCATGAAAAGCATAGACACGGTCTAGTGACAGACGTGTACCTGTGTTGGCCCTCACTTTGACTCAAGCTCTTCAATGCTCTGATATAAAACTAATAAACTTCTTTGAGAAGGTGTTATCTTCATCTTAGCCACCGGGGGCTACAATAATGGCTTTATTGCTACAGTAATATCATTCAGGTAACTCTTGTTGTGGTGTTACATCAACACATGGGGATCTGCATAAACATATGTGCAGGTAAAAGTAAATAAAATATATAAATTATAGTATATTATTAGCATTTAAAAGCTACTGTATATGTTAAGCATCACTGTCTTATGTTTATTCTTTTATCAAGAGGACGTAACCCATTACTGAATAATCTTGACTTCTTGGAAGTTTTCATTTCTAAAATCACAGACTTCTCTTGTTCAGTTATTTTTCTGTTTTTGAAAGTAAAACCAATGTTCTGGGAGAAAATCCTGAATGCATTATCCTGGATACAGGATCTAGTACTTCTATTATGACAGATAGTTATGTACATTTGCCTAATGCTTTAACTATGGTCTGTTTTCATGTTTCTTTAAGGCAAATAGTTCATCAGTATCTAAACCAAGTCTCAGTGTGACAGCGGTTGCTGCTCTGTTTGAACCCTACACCAAGGTCAGTTCAAGGATAGTGAGTCTATTGAGTTGGGACAACGGCCAGATCCTCGGGAATGGATCATGCAGGTCTTAACAGGGGGTTACCGCAATCCCAGCGTGCACTGTACTGCTCCGACACCGCTCCTTCCCCTTCACATACATAAGTAATCGAGTGAAAGGCCTCTTGATGTTGATCATCGGCCCACGGCTTAAGTCAGATATCTAATTACAATGTATGAAGGTCAGGAGAAAAGGTTGGATCAATGTCATGTCTGATATTATGTTAAGACTGTAATTACCAACTTGTCATTAACAGCTTAACTGCCATGATGAGGATGTGAAATATCGATCTCAGCACACAGCAAAGGCGTGTATGAAGGACAAACTTAACATACGATGTGGACCGCATGAGAATAAAAGGTGTTTACTCTCTGTGTTTGCTCTCTCTCTCTCTCTCTCTCTCTCTGATGACTCATCCACAGTTACAACAGGACCCTCCCAAATCCTACTGTATCAGCGCGATGCAACATCACATTCTGTATTTACAGCACGGCAACAACAAGGAGCATTTGCTCTTTGACGTTCAGTTAGAGAAGCCATTTCCTCAAAATGAATCCACTCCAGATTGCAGCAAATTCAGGACTGTGCCTCCTGAAACCAATTATTGTTGTAGTGGTGACACCTTCACACCATCTCTACAGCATCTCCACCCAAGCTCTTGTCAACATGACAGTTATTTCCTGTTTCTGTCCCCGACAGTTTCTAAATACAGCTGGGAAGATCCAGACCTAAAACAAAGATGACAACCAAGACTGGCAAATGAATGACTCTTTGTGACCTCCTCAACCAGGATGTTATGCAGAGAGACTCCAGCTGGACACCACATCTCAAACTGTGACTGTTGTGTAACGGTGCCAGAGCTACAGCAGACTGGATGGATGTTTCGATAAAAGCATGAGGCGATAAGAAAGAAGATGAGTCAAGCCTGATGGAGTCACATCAATCTGTTGGTGCTATTTCAATTACAAAAATGTACCGTGTGGCAGGTGGAGGTGATAGAATTAATGTCATAAAACTACAACCTTTAGCCTGTACAATAACAATATAATATCTTAGCATTTTCAGTTCTTAGAAACTGAAATTCGCCTTTAAATTCTAAAGAAAAGCCTGATAATAGCTCAAGACTTTTTTTTAAGCCCAAATATGTTTTCATCATTGTGCATTTCTACACTCCACCTTCTTTATCATCAACCAACTTTGTCCGGTGATCAGATTCATCCGCCTATGTGTTGTAGTAGGCAGTAGAATGTACAGCAGGAGATTGTGTAAGAACCAATAAAAGACTCAGATCCACAGCACACAGTTGCATTATGATAATAATAGGCAGCAATATATTCGGTACTGAGCAAACACTGTGAAAGTGAGGATATAATCACAGGAAATGGCGCTGAGGGAAGTCTGAGGGCCAAAGTGTGGCCAATGTTCTGTGTAATATTGCGTCCCACATTTTATTCAAACCTAAAGGTAAACTGCGATGTTCAGATGTTTGACTAATGAAATTTTAATGAAAGACTTAATTACGCTCAGGCAGTAAAGTGACGTTGGAGACGACTCCAGGGAACCGCAGAGGAAAACCAATACTTAGAAGCCACAGACGAAGCCACGGTAATTTCTGACAGATGCACAGATTTTCCACTCCCACTTTGTTACATTCAGCAGTTCAGGAAAAGGGAAAATGCTTTTGTTTCATATTCAGCAAAAACGGGAGTGAGCTTTGAATTTCAGAACAGCAGCCTATTAGAGTCAATCTGAGCCTATCTGTGTCGTCGCTGTGCTGACGCAGCTCCCTGAAGATGGAGCTTTGGCTCGGTTTAATCATCTCCTCTCCGACATTATTGTGATATCTCACAATGCAAGGAGACAGGTGGATCTATGCAGCTTGGTGACAGCACTTGGTGCCATTACATCAACCTTAACTTCACTTCCTAACAATGAAAATCACATTTTCCAAACAATATACAGTATTTGGCCCATACTGGGCTGGTGTGGTCGCACCATTACAGACTGAATAAGAATACATTTCTAACTTTAATTTCATCAACATTTAAACTTTAGATTAGTACAAAAGTTTACTAAGACACTACCTTGGCGTTTTACTGCTACCATGTCAGCATTACACTCAGTGGCCAACTGTGACAGAATTATCTGAAGGTTATAAGAACCTAACCTGGGATTTATAGACTAGATGGTAGTGAACCCAGAAGGCTGGGGTTCTACCAATGCACCTCTTTAGCCCCTCAAGCTATAAATCAACCAATAAATGGACAATCTCCCCCCCCCCAGGGTTATGTTTAACTTTTAATGCCGCTATGCCTGCACAACAATCACGTGCATCCAAAATCTCCACTCAGATCTAATTAGATACTTATGTAAAATATATTAATGTGTCAATTTTAATTTAGCTAAATTAACTCATTATAATGGTGGAAATTTGATAGAAATATAACTAGAGTAAGACGAACCTCACAGATATAACAATTTTGATTATGCACTTGATAAAATGGGCTGATGGGAAAATCAGTCAAGCTGCCATTTCCACACCGGGCCATTCTATTGGTTATATGGCCAAGGGCTGTAAAAACACTATTAAGTTTTAAGGTAATGTGAATTCACATTATACACGTTATTGATTCCAAGTGCACTGTTCTATTAGAGTTCAGGAATTAATTATCCGAGAAAAAAACTCATTTGTGTCTTCAACTGGGGAGAACAAATGGACTGTTCCCCTGTCACTTGTGCAGCACATAGAGATGCTGGAAATAAAATGCAAAGTGGAACCAAACAACATGAAACAAATGGATTCACCCTAAACACACAGTCAGCATAGTGCTATGTACATCCTAGAACTTGATGTGGGGAAAAACCAAACTGCTAAATGATTTACGCAGTGTGTATACTATCAAAGGCTGCATTAAAAATAGACAATGTCCACACAGGCACCAGAAGACTGACAACTGAGTTTTAGGCACTGCCTACGACAAATAAAAACTGGCTTTAACATCCAAGGTGTTTCATCCTAGATAATTGATGGAAACACTTCTGATGTATTATTTATGTCAGGTCTTTACAGTGTTTATATCAGTTTACAGTTGTCTGCATATACAGTGCATGCCTTGAACCTACTGTACAGTATGTTTACACAGACGGTGTAAAAATGTTTCATTGTCATTGTGCAGCTAAGTTTACTTCCTTGTGACCAACTACTACCCTTCACTGTCTTATCACATCCAAAATCAGTCAAAACAATAGAGATTCCTAACATTCATTTTTATGATAAGAACAGATTAAAAGTGCTGACCTTTTGGTGCTGAACATCTTGGATGTGCTTTTTTTCCCTCTTCTGCTCACTGGGTTTTGATGTGGAATTTCCAAGCACTCTACAAGTGCACACAAACACCTGTAAACACACACACACAAAAAACAGGGTTAAGGCACAGAGGCAGATAAGAGTGAGATTTCCAGCATCACAATCAACTCGCCCTCCAGTGGACCGAATACCTCGACCACATCGACCTCAACAACCTCCATTAGACGGCCTCCAACTGAGCCAGGCAAATTGACTTGGCCTGGCAGGAGGCAGCGAGCGGGAGAGAGCTCAGTCAACACGACAAAGACGGAGCAAAGAGACACTCGGCAGGTGGATTCATAGTTATTTAGTTTTACCTCAACACAATGATGGCACACAATTACACTGGGATGGAAATAATTACTGCTGAAAATCAATAGAAGGAATATGAGGAAATATTGGCTAAATGAACCATTGGACTGATGTAGACATAGAAACAGCCATAACATTATACTTTACATCACGAGTGGTTAAAATCATCAACCTGCTTATTTCCCCATAAGGCTGTGCTGTAGCTGCCAAGTGTATAATTGCTGGGAGTTAGCCTCTGCTCTTTCATATAAAGGTTATCAGAGAGCGTGGAGGAGGAGTCGGGGTAAAAGAAGATAGGGTTCAATAATTAATGCTAAGGTCTATGCAGGCCTCACTTTTCACCCCCTCCTGTCCGTAATGAGATGAGTGTAGGGCCCGGGGGAAGGAGGGAGGGTGAGAGGGAGGGAGAGAGAAGGAGAGCAGGGTGATTAAAGTGCCCGGCCTGGGTCTCATCTACCCTTCTCTCCTCACCTCCATCCTTTAGACACCCATACGCACCGTCTCATTTATAACACCTGGGAGTATGATTTGTCCCTACTAGACAGGGACAGGGAGCAGAGGAGAGCTGAATAAGCAGATGGAAAGGTTAACAAAGTAGTGTGACACTGGAAACATCTGATAATCCATTCAGGTGACATGGAAACTGTGGGGGAAAAACTTCTGTAAGTAATCTCACAGCACAAGAGAAGGAGAAGCCAACACCGACTTTCATTCACAGGATGAAAACCGCCGTCGTACCGACTGCCACAGAAGTGCAGGACTCCATTATATTTATTAGGGAAGGTATTAAAACTACAGTCCATATTAAGGATTAATTGGTCGAATGTTGTATTACACTAATAGTGTGACGTACATTTGATAATGCAATTACAGGGTTTAGGATTAGAGTTGTTTCACTGTTAGGAGATAAGTACGCATCTAAATCAGGGGTGTCAACTCATTTTCACCGGGGGTGGGGGGGGCACATCAGCAATATAGTTCCCCTTGAAGGGCTGGTTGTAACTGTAACACTGTATAGATGTGACTACTCCACAACATAAACTGCCAGAAATAATTAGTATTAATTCATGTTAACTAATTTACAGGCCAAACTGTTTCTATTTTCACATTGCTGAAACAGTTCAACACCAATGACATGACAACGTGTAAGTCCACATGATGACTGTTTTCAAAAATAGTCATTTAAGGATGTTTCAAAAAGTCATTTATCATTTTACTAAAATAAATTATCAGTAAGAACTAACAAATGTAATATTAAGACTCATTCTGTGTCAATATTTAACTCTGATATAATATAACACTCTTGTTCCTATTGGAAGTATAAAAAAAGTCCCTGTAATTTAAACATGTTGAAAAATTGTTTTGGTTTATCATGCATATGGATGGACGGTGCAAAATGATGTTTCTGCTGCCAGACTGGAGCAACATCTGCTATGAATGAAACATCAACACTGACCCTCCTACTCTCTGTGAAAGCCAATAATTATTTCTAATTTGAATCAGAAAAGACAAAACAAAAAAAAAAAACAAAAAAAAAAATACAATGTCATGGTGATTTTAAAAGGATTCTCTTCAACCACAGCATGATGATTAAGGCAGAGCCGCCACTGCTAGGTGGTTGAACACATTGAACAGCGGCACATCACATCACAGCAGGAACGTTGTTGGACATCCAAAACACTCTAAACAATTTTAACAGCAGGAACGACATGAATGCCTCGCTGGAAAAAGGCGGCTGGTGCATGCAGAGTGAAAGCCTATTATTATAATTAAAAAAAAATAATGTGAATACAAATTTTCATCCCATCTTCGAGATAAATCAGAGCCCAGTGAGCATGGGAGTGGTGGGGGTGATTTAGACATTTTCATTGCTGTAAAATGTGACTCATCCTTCCATTCGTCACACTATTACAGGGGTTTTAAAGGAGATTACACACACACACACACACACTTCTGCACCAAGTCCCACACCAACCTCATAAAAAGGAAAATGTAAAAAAGTATTAGAAACAAACCTATTTCCAACATATTTATAAAACATATTTCCAAAAACAGACATGAGGAGGAGACAAGGAGACAGTCTAGAATGATGGCAATTATGTAGGTACAAACTCTCTATTTACTCTTTACTCGATTTACTCTATTTATAAAGAGAAGACAACAGGAATGTCCTATAGTAAATAAAGTGAAAACTAAAGTATTGCTGTTGCAGTTTGACCAGAACACTAATCGAGTATGGGAGGCGTTGATCTGCTGTTTTTTCCACCTTTTATCTCTTTTTAAATTTGTACTTATCTAGTTGTAATTGTAATGTTTTTAATACATTTTCCAATACAGGTTTCCTGAGATGGTTTTATCTGTACTGTACTGTATCTGTACTGAACTACAATAGCATCTGACATGAACAAACATTGCTTACTTCTATCTCCATGATAAGAGAAGCTTGTTTGGGGATGGTTTTCATTAAGCCTGTCTTGTGTTTCAGCTTAATTGTCTCTGGGCGTGCAAAGCATCCTGACAAACACTATCAGCATCCAAGCATGTAATGGATTGAGGCAAATCCCTCAGACAGACACAGGGACAGCAGGTACCGTTGGTGCAAGTTGGGTCTGCAGCAAACCGCCCGAGCGTAAAAACAACAGTCAATGATGCAAGAGTGATGTGTTCGACCGGAAACACACTTCGCTTTAAGCTAAAGTCAAGAAATAGCTGTGAAACACAGGAACCGAGATGAGCTACGCTCAGACACGCTGAGAGACAAACAAAAACACCGGAGCATCTATTGACAAATTTACACAACAAAATTAAATTTTGTCCTCACCAAAAAGTGTAAAGATTTAATAGAGATACAAGTCGTGCTGGTTCCTGGATCAAGTCCAGGGTATGAGCAGCAGAATTGGGCGTATTGATCAGGGGAGGGATTAGCGAGGCCAGGTTATGTAGTTAAATCAGCGGCAGCCATCAGAAAAACTAGCACTGGCACCCAGTTAATGCAGCAGAGAAAAATGATATACGGTACTGTGCTTGGGGAAATAAAGACAGCTTTCTGACATGTACAATTTAAAAATCAATAACAATTCTGTGGAATTATTTATGATTTAGCCAAATGTCATGAAAATTAGGATATTTTAACAAATGTTTTTAAAACGTTTTTCTGTCATTAGTAATTCAGTATTTACTTATGTCTGCAGAGTCGTAATTAAAAATACGTCAGTCCAGCAGCTGTGGTGGCATTTAAATCAGAGCGCAGTTTACCGCAGAGATATGACTCATCTTCCTCCTTCTGTTCCCCACCCAGGTTCCTTGTTTGCCCCATTGTCAACACCTCACCATTGTTTACATCTCTGCTCGTACTCTTCTTCATCTCCCCTTTCACCAAGGAAGCAGCACAGACACAGGGCTTGATTACAGCACGTTTTCTGAACTAACAGGGGTCAAATTAACTTGGCAGGAAACACTATAGCATTATGGGAATGCTACAGTCAATTACCAGGCAGTAAATAAACAATGATGATAAGTTTTTACTGATTACAGATTTATCTTGTTCATCTTCTGCTTCACTTTAATATCCAAACATAAAGAAACTGACACTCTCCCTGACAGCATATAGAGCTTTTTTAACATGTTTATCAGAACTGTCAGATATTAAAGTTTATGATAGTAAAGCCACAATGGAAGACTCGTGCTTCAACAAAGACCTGATTGTTCCACTACGATACATTTCAGAAGTCTATGTCTACCACTGGTCAATTAAAAATGGAAAGGAAATACAGATGGATTACACAACTACCTCAGCTGCTGCTTAGTTTGACATTATATCACTAAGGTCAAGAACAATACAGACTCATGAACTTGCATTATGTAAGGAAAAATCTATTCACTCTGAGGTTTACTTTAAATAAACCTTGATGTTAGCAGGATGAGCCAAGGTTCCCTCAGATATCTGTTTTCCCCAGTAGAGGTGCTATTGTGCCATTGTCCAGAAGGATTCAATGGAACAAACCAAACTGTTTACTAGACTGTGATTGACAAGATTAAAGAAAAATATTTAATATAATAAATAAATTCAATTTAATATATTGAATTTCTTAGTAACAGAAGTTTTAACTTTATGAAATTAACAAAACAAACAACAAATAATAAAGCAACAATGCATCACCAAAGCATGAATCTATTTTTGGCTGTGCATCAGTCTCCAGCATAGATGTTGGCTGTGGGGGAAAACAAGTCAGCGCTGCAGCAGAGGGGCTAACGAGAGGGTACCTACACGTCTACAGCGCTGTCAGTTTGAATTGAAGTCATACCCTCGGTTCAGTTTGGGAGTGAATTCTGCTGAGTCACTAGTCTGCATAATATTAGGCTGAGAAAGACAAAATGCCTTTTGAGTGTCAGTCAAAAACAAAGAGCCTCTACTTTGATTCAATTAGCCTTTAAACAGTGTCCCAAAGTGGAACTAAAGGCAGAGCTGGCTCATTTTAAGTGACAGAGCCAGACCAGATTTTAATTTGCTGACAGCAGCGCCTTCTTCCCATCAAGATGGGTGTCATGGGTCGAGTGATGTATGTAATGTGGCTGTTACATTACTCTCCCATTCACCGGAGAGGAGGTAGAGGCAGTGGTGGTAGTGTGTGTGTATATACATGCAGGTCAATCAGAAACCATGGGTGAAAATTGAGACTACGAAGGAAATGAGCAGGGATTCATCATCACTCTCAAGCCAATGCCGGGGAAACAGATTTAATCACTTTTAGAGAACACCATGCAAACATTGCCAAGGCCAGCCTCTATCCCACCCATCACATAATCAGTGATGTTGTTCATAAAGTCATGCAAACATCCTGCATTCTGTGGTACGAGAACTGGCAGAAGCAGAAGGAAGAGAACGGTTCGTTTTCACAACCAGGAAAACAGGAGACATTAGGGTGTAACTGGGCTGGGCTGCTGTGGCTTAGCAGGGCAAATCCCCTGTAATCCCTCAACCAGTCCCATGGTGCCGTTTACTGCATCTAGGTAAAGCTGTTATGGAACACACCAAGCCTGCCCTGTTGACATGTTGGTCCATCCTGTCTCTTATTCATAGTTTCCTTACTCTCACTATTAGGAGAGGTTTGTCATACTTTAAAAATACCATTTTATAAAGAAAACTCTTTGTAAAGTTTAAAATGGCTGCAAGCAAATGCTCAACATTTAAGAACTGACATCAACAAAAACTACTTTTATGGTTATGTGATGAATCCAAGGCTCAGTGTTTTAATAAGGACAACTGAACAGCTGTGGACTATTTGGTGCTTTCTATCACAAATGCAGCTGCTGTGCTGCTCACTCCTCAGTCAGACTTGTTTTATTAAACAAAAACACTTGATGTTTATATCCCTACCCAAAGTCACCGTGCGCCTGTCCTGTGTCGACAAAGGCTGCTCAAATGATCAGTCATTTTGTCAGCACAAACTTTTCATGATTACTACACACTGAAGACAATATAAAAAAGCCCTCCCACAATGTGTTAGGTGAAAAAAAAGCTTTAAAGTAAACATTCCCATTCCCTTACAGTGGGCAGTTGAAACCCAAACAACACATATCTAGGTTCCTGTGAGGAGTCCGTCTGGCTGGACTATGGATGCTCATCCTCACTAAATCTCATGGTGAGATTATGGTAATCAGGCAGTGGAAAGTAGTGAGGACGCCAAAAAGATTTAGATCACCAAAGGAGGAAAAACAAACAAATCACTCACCAAAGTATTTACACCGTGTCAGTGAGCTGCTGTAGCTTTTTAGGATAGAACATTAAATCACCATAAATGAGAACCTTCTGATTTGACCCCAGCACTACAAATCATTCTAGCGGCCCTTCAGACAAATCAAAGGCAGGCTCTGAATGTGTCAGCCCGTCTGGGAATCTTCTCTCTAATCAATGTCTGCAGCTGCCGTGGAGCCATAAAGCAACATACAGTATTGAAGGAACTTGCAGCATTTCTTGGAAGCTTCAAAATTAATTTTCAACAAATTTCATTTGGTTTCCAAGAATCACTCCCCAACACAAGGCAACAAATTACTGTGCCACTGCCCCCAGCAGTGGCTAATTGCTTCTTGTGGATACACAAACCACCCAGTCTGCCTCCCACACACTCACACTCACTCCTTCACTGTCTGTCTCCGTGTTAATTAATCCTATTTAACATACTGCGACATCTTCAGCTTTACCAAATTCATAATTACTAAAAGGTACAGCGAAAGACAAACTAATAACAGGTCTTTCATGAAGTACTTTAACTGGTAAACTGAGACTTTGAAAGTTTTTCAAGCAGAGTTTCAATCGACAAAAATTAAATGGAAAAATGTTCCAAATCGATAAATGCTTTTACGTTTTTAAGCAAAAAAAGAAGAAGAAGCAAAATACAGAGGATAAAAAAACCCATGTCCTGCCAATGATACAACTTAGCCAGAAAAGTTAAATATATCAGTGCTTGTTGATGGTTTATGCTCATGCCCTCCTATTAATGCGAGACACTCTTCATCTGAGGCAGGACAACTGAACACACACACACCTCGTGTATCAGAATAGTACACTCTTTTTATTCTTTTTCAGTGGATGGTTAAGGAAGTCGACCAACTTTTCTGGCATGGGGCTTTTTAATTTTGAATTACAAAACAGCAATAGATTAAAACACAAATTAATTTTCCATAAATGGGGCTTTCAGGGAACACTGCCTGGCAACAAGTCAGAACTGATGTTTGTAATTCACTGCTTGTATTCCTCAGGCTAGTAAAGAGGTTCTTGGTTCTGCCTGAGAGCTGTGTGTAAGAGTGTCTGCGCGTGTGTGTAGGCATTAATGTGGCTCTGAGAATAAATGAGAGTTACAGCTGTTAAACCACTGCACAGCCTTTTGGCAGATAGTTATGTGAGATATGGATATTGTCCAAACATCATATCAACAAAAAAATATATACAAAAATAAAAACTATAACACGCACTTTAAATGCAGATAAGGAAACTGATTGTTAAGGGCCAACTGATTTAATTTGTTAGATTTCAAAGACAAAAGGCATGTAATTATTTCCGACTAAGTAAAATAATTCAGCTTATCAACAGCAATCTCTCTGCAGTAATTGATTAGTAGCAGCTACACACTGATGATGGCAGGGTGAGGGATTCACCACATCCAGCAGGAGCATGCTTCATTTTATCAAGGGAGTCATCACTTGTGTTGAGTGCATGTGTGTGTGTGTGTGTGTGTGTGTATCACTGTTTCGGTTTTTACTGACCAAATAATTTAAATTTGTATATGGTTTGGTCCTTTCGAGGAATGTTGATTTCTTTCAATTAATTTTGATTAGTTGGTTACTGCACAACTACTCTGTGATTATTATTTTTTTAAATCATTTGACAGCAAGAAAAGCAAGTAGAATAAAGTAATAAAACGAGATAAACAAGTTAGGAAGACAGATGAGAATCATAATGCATTTAAGTAAAGCCCATAATGTTTATAAGGAGGGGAAGGAATGAATCAACATAACATTGACAATAACACAATCATACTGATTAAATCCAAGGCAAACCTCTGATTGCATTAAATTTCATGTTACAAATTGTAGGATAATGGAGCGTTTGTCTAATTGTAACCCCTCTACACACCTAGTGAACTGTTTTATATTATTATTTATATTATTTCTGCATCTACCACATGTGGCTAATTATATCAATTTATAAGTTAGTGATTATACTAACGTCTAGTGATTATACTGTAAATATATTTTTTAACCTTTATAATATATTGACTGGACGGACAAAGATTAATTTTCTAATCTGAATAATCACAGAGCACCTTAATTAATCATGGATAATTTAGAGAGAGAAAAAAAATCCTAAAAATGACTTTGTTGACAGTGGCGTCTAAAACTTGTCATAGAGTTAGTTTAAAGCCGTTGTCCTCAACAACATCAATCACTCCACAGTCCAGAGGCAACTCTTAACATCAGTGTCGGACGGCTCTCCACAGTCCAGAGGCAACTCTTAACAACAGTGTCGGACGTCAGCTGTTCTGCCACTGAACTTCCTCAAGTCTTCTCAGTGTTCGTGAACCGTCTCCCTGGTGCATCGTTGAAGCACAGCCGGTGTCTTGACAATAATACAGCTCCATACTGCTGAGCCCATACTGGACTGGTGGATTTTATTAGGGTGTGCAGTATAATGAGATAATAAGAAGCCTGGACAAAAAGGAAAGTGTGGGCTTTCACCCACAATACCCTGGTGGCTGCTCACATCGTACCTTAAAGGCTTGCACCGTATTTGAATGATGTTAAGATATCATAGGCTCAGCTATATGCTTCCCTGCAGGAGGGAGTCTGAGGCAAATACTGATGACTCAATTCATTTAGTCTTCTTTCCTCAGAGCTCCGAATGTGCTGAGAAGGGAACTTCCCACCCTGGAAAACACTTTTTAAGACAGTAAAAAAAACAAAAAAAACAATGATGCCGTGCAGTGTTCAGCTCAGTGTACACCAGACCATGGCTGAACCTATTAAAAAGTTCATCTTACACCAATGTGTGGCCTATTTTGTTACATATTAAGACATCTATACAGGGTCATACCGGTCCAAAGTCTATCCTGCTTTTATATAGGCTATAATGACATCATCAAACTTGAGTATTTGTTTAACATTTTAACAATTTATAACCAACTTTAAAAGGTGTTTTTAGCTTATATTAGTTGCAATTTGACTACAGACAAAAAGCAACACTACGCAGCAACATGATTTCATTTTGTAAAATGAAATAGACATAGTCAAATGTTGACTTTTTCTAGGCATCTAGAAATACAAGGACTGTTGATCCTGCTTGAATGCCAACAGCAAACAAATTTGCAGCACTTTTTATAATGATGGTAATGAGAAAGTATAAGGTTATCATTGCATAAGCTAATAGTCTCATAGCAACAATGTCGATCTAAAAGAGCTGCTGAGATCCCGACCACAGGTTTTTTAAGTTGAACTTTTTCCATCTCAGGAAACTGACTAAGTTTCCTGACATGACACACTTTTGTTTGTTTTAAATATGCAGTTAAGGATATTTTCAATTGTTCAAATGTTCTTTAATTATTTGTTTTATTTGAAAAACCACACTGCTCAGTTTGGTGATGATTAATTTATGTAAATAAATAAAATGTGAAACTCCACGATAGTCCCACAAAGTTTCTCTTCTTCTTTCTTTTTAATGTGGCTGCACAGGAAAAGTTTGATCATTTCCTCTACTGAATTACACAATTTTAAACTTTTTGAATTTAATGTTCCTGCCACGGCACTAGTGAGCAGACAAGTGTCAATTGTAGGACACGCGCACACACAGCCTGATTGACGTCTCACCGGTCGTGTTTGGGTAAGGCAGAAATAAGACACCCCCTCAGGTGGCAACACAAGTAGAGAACATAAAGGTGAGTTACTGCGACCATCCACACCTGAACTTCATCTGCCTCTAATTAAAGTCATCGCAAAAGCTGGCTTTACTTTAAAACAAACAAACAAACAAACGAGCGACTAATTTATTAACGCTGCAGCTTAAACAGCACCGACAAACAGCTGAGCAGCATTAAGGCTTGATAAGGAGAAGACTTATCAGAATAAAAGCCGGCTCGGGTGTTAGTGGAGCAGCGACCTTCAGCATCACTACTCACTTTTCACAGGAACTTGCTGAGACGGAGCTGCTTCACATGCCACAGGCAAACATCTTCACCATCATCTTCTCTTCAGAATTCAGCGCTTCAAGTGACTGAGTCTTCGTCAGTGATGCAACGACGAGTGTGTACACACATACACTCGGAGAGCAGCAGACATGCGGTGTCATTTGACCTTCTCCCAATAGGAACTACCATCAGTGAGACGTAGCAGAGGGGAGGAGCGGATCATACCAAGCAGCAGTCCCCCGCACAGAGAGGGGGTAGAGAGGAGGGAAGGTCCGGGTGTGTTTTTGTTGAATGAATGAATGTTTTGTAATGAATGGGTGGATAAGTGAATGGATAAATGTGTAGGGCTAAGGATACGGCTGTTATTATTGTTGAAAAAACACATTTTGTTATTTTTTTTATGTTTTAGGTGATATTAATCACAGGGAAATAATCTGGAATTAATTGACAACTGATAGTGTAGGTCAAGTATACAACTTTATCATTGGATGATTTTCACCAATAAAAATATGTCATCACCATTTTTTTAGTTTGTTAGATGATTTATTTATGGCTGCATACTTGTAAACTTTATCACTCTACAATAAATGCTGAAATGAGACAGTGCTGCAGTGCGAGTCCCTGTCTGACTATTAGAGAAATAAATGACAGTCGGGGCAACAATAGGAGGAAGAAATCAATAGTAAAGTGCAGTGAGGTTAAAAGAAAATTACCCATATGTAAAGCAGTGTATATATACAGCGGTTTAGGGATAAATTCCTAATAATGTCAGCAAAATAAGACATTTAGCTGTTTTAGACCACAAACATGTTGTAAGTCCATTGCACAAAAAAAGTTCACCTCACACAGATGCTGTAGCTTCAGTACAACACGACACGTACTACAACATGCTGTGGAAGCAAATGTGGATCATAAATAAAATGGCAAATTAGGTCACTGCGCGGCACACTGAGATACTAACTGTGGTCTGCCAAATGGCACAGCTCTTTACTTCATGAAGAGACAAAGAACCAGCTTTCACTTTACTGAGCACAATGCATTGTGTAAAGTTGCATCATGGCAGTAATGAATACAAATGGACCACTGGCTTTTGCTGTACTGTTATTTGAGGCCAGTGGAACAATATAGCAATATATATAAGTCAGGAGATTAATATAATGTACCATAACGTTTGTCTGTGAAATATATAAAAGGCAATTAGAAAATCGGTTCAGTATTGAATTTTGGATTAGAAGCATGTATGCCCCAATACAACAAACTATATTCTGTGTGCTGTACATCAACTGTGATGTGTCCACAGAGGCTTTCGTGACAAAGGTGTCGCCCACTGGAGGCCCAAGGTCACATGCTGACAACTGCCCCTCTGGCAGCATTGACAGCACTAGCAACTCGTACCCACTGAGTTGGAAAGTGCATTTCTCAAGTATAAATGAAGACTTGTTACTGTATTGATTGATGGTGCACTTCAGCAGCGAGAGGTTAAAATCGATGTGCGCTGCATGGAGTCTGAAGACTGAAGGCTGGAGACTGATGCCTGTGATGCCTACCCTCCTGAATCCCCTGGAGTTCACTCATAAATAAATGAAGGAGACAGAGTGTTTCCTGAGAAACTGCTTGGTTTTGTCAAAGGCAGGGTCTCAGTATACCTATTTTGGTACAACCCTGCATTTATTTTTATTTGCAGACAAAACTTTAGATATGAGAGATTATGATAATGATATTGTAGTTAATGTTAAATACAGCTTTATGGAGTGGATATACCAGATCTCTGAAAGCTGAAATAGTACCATTTATTTTAGAATTGTAATAATTTCCTGATTTTCTGACCAATATATTTCAGCCATTTTAGACACACAATGATCTAAGTCATTAGAATACTTTTACCTATGCACACTAATCATAGAGGTTAAAATGTAAAGAATATGAAACACACACAAGTTATTGTCATCAGATCAGAAAATGTAAACCTCAGCACAAATGTAAATGTTAATGAAGAGTGTGAAGGTCAGTACTTGGAACATTTAGAAAAAAATGCTCAATATGAAGTAAATCTCTATTGATATTTTAATTTAATGTATGGGTTAAACTAACCATTTCTAATTATATATGCACGTAATGAATAAAACATTTTCAAATAACCAATTTTTAATATACTTTGATTCATGACAGGATCTTACCCCTGTGTGGGTGACCCCTGGTCCAGCCTTATTACATACAGTACCTTCAGCCTAAAATGAAAACCATTCAAAGGAATTCAACATTTTTTCTTTGAGCTCAGGCTGTGGATCATCTGAACCCCATTTATTCAAGATGTAATAAAGGCATAGCACAATGGGGTGAGATATGAATGCTCCAGCAGTATTTGGCGATGGCCTTTGGTGATACGGATAGACCGGTGCGGAAATGTCACCCAGTTAACAAGCTCTATGTGATCAAACAGATAAGACAAACAGGAAATGGCTTTTTATCCGCCTGTGGTGCTATCTCAATTATGATTTGATTCAATGTGCACAAGGTAAAGCCCTCTGTGTGTGGTGTTTTGTGTGGAAACACTTTCCAAAATTTGAGATAAAACATAAGGACGTTTTTGGTAAAATAAAAGGCAGAAACTGGGTAAAAAAAAGAGAAGAGGAGCAGAAACATGTGAAGTAAAAATAACAGGTTTCTGTTTGCGCCCTGCTGCCTCCAGATATGGCACAAACGGTGTCAAGGTGACCAGGCACTGATAAAAGACTATTCTGAGCACTAGAAGTGTGAAGATGCTGCACGTGGCTCCAGGGCAGCTACTGGTCCTGAGCGTTATTTTCAGTAGGGAGCAGAAAGAACATTTTATTCTTCTTTGACTAGATTAAAAGGACAAAGTAACACATTTTGGTCTTAATAACACAAAATTAAATTTTCATTTTTATTCACTTAAGCTTTTTCTCACAAATACCCCAGTGTTCTACAGATAAGGCACATTAAAGCAGTGAGTTAGGTACAAATCAGACAATAAAGTGAATTAAAATAATGTATCTGATTACATACATGTCAGGGAAAATACAACAGCAAAAAAAATTCTTTAAGCACATTAAAAAATAACTTTTTACAGGTTTAATGCTGCAAAAAGGGAGGATGTGTATTGAAAAAAAGCAATCACTCTGAAGTACTGCAGGTATTGTCAGAAAATGTCAGCAGGCAATCACTGCTGGAATCTCTGGGTTTGATTTAGAGCTTTGTCAGAGATGAATAAAGCCTTGAACCCTGCTCCTGTAATCCAGCGAGCAAACTATAAGTACTGACCTTTTGACAGGCGGTCAAGGTTGTCAAAGCTTATCATCACTCTTCTTTTTGTTAACCCATTGCCATTTCTGTTGACCAAATGTATTTTATTATGTTTGCACTAAGCCTTCATTTTCCCTTAGCTGCCTTTGAGCTGCATGTGATTTTTCTTCATTGATTCTAATAGTTTTTCTTACTTTAATTGGCTAGAGAAGCAAAAATACTGTATAGTTAGTTAAAATGTGGTTAAGTATGTGCTTGATTACTTGAACTTTAAATGACATTCATAAACTATCAGGAAAACTACAGTTGTCTGATTAGACCATCCTTCTACCTGCCCTTATTATGTGGAGCTGAAACATAAGCAAGATGCTGTGAAGACCTGGCATCATTAGGTTTAATCAACTTCGGATGCCCTGAAACAAAAGCAATCAACACACAGACACACACACAGAGAGCGAGAGAGAGAGAGAGAGGGAGGGAGGGGTGTGGGGGGCAAAGGGTGAGTCGATACCAGACATTCATCATTTTGGTCTAGCCAGGCCTTTTAATTACTGCAATGAATTCCCTACATGGCTCCCGTCACCAGTCACCTCCTATCTCAACTAGTTTTTATTGTTGAGGCTTTACTGTGGGTGAGAACCTGTTTTATAAATACATGTTGAAGGTAGTCTGTCAGTGCGGTAAACATTCAAGATAAATCCGTGCAATTAGGCATTGGAAATTGTCATTTGTATAACCTCTGTGATGGAATGTTTACGATGTCACAGACGGAACGGACCTAAAACATAAAACATCCTGTTTCTCCATGGAGCTTAAAATGTACATGGTGACTGTGAGGCAAACACAATCTGGACAAGGTGTGTGAATGTTATCAGACATGATCAGTTTAAGAGGGAAACTAGCACATTTTGTCAGGAAACAAAAAGTGACTGATTTAGTGTTTTACATGTAGCTGTCCAGGCCACTATATATGCATGACTACACAGTGAAACGTGTTCTTTCGAAGACAAACAAGTAGACCTGCAGCTACATCTCATGTTTTACAACGATCCACAAAATTAAGTTTTGTGGATCTTCTGCGACATCTGTGAGATGTCTAAACAAAGACTGGTGAGAGCAAGAAAACAGGTATGTGGAATACAGTGACCCCTGCAGGTCATTTATTATATTGCGATATCAGAGTCAAAAACAGATGTTTTTTTATTTCCAAGGAAACAGTACCAGGTTCCAATAATAGTTAGTCGCACGTATACATTTAGTTATCGGTTAATACACAAAGATTAAATGATCAGCAATATAATTAGAATATTAACAATATAATTAGAATATTAACAATATAAGAGCTATTTTCCTTCTCGACCTTCTTTTTCTTGCTATTACTATTTGTAATCTAATTTATTATTATTGTTAGAAAAAGTGCAATAAAAGTACAAGTTGACGACGAACGAAAGGAGCGCTAGAATATAACATGGCAATGACTCAATGGTTTGCCTTATATGGCGTTTGTCCACACTAGGCTTCCGTATTATTACCGGAAGTTTAGGCAGATCCATGTGTTTCATTCATTGTTGCTCTAGAATATATTGATAGCTGATCTTTTTTAAACAGTTCAATCATGCGTCAGAGGACGGAACCTCAAGCGTCAGCTAATGCAGCCGCGGAAAATATCCTTAAAAAGGTACTATGGCGTTAACGTTCTTTCGCTGACAAATGCCGTGACAAACATTGACAGGAAAGTTAGTTGCTACAGTTTGGTGACTACTAAAGTTGTATGTGTACAACGTGTCAAATATAACATATGCCGGAGTGTGTTGCTCTGTTTAGCCAAAAGATTGGCCACATTTCAGTAAAATAGATTGAATCACTTTTCAGTGAATTTCAACTGTTTGTCGCTGACGTACCTATAATGTTGGGATGATAACAGTACAAGGCATGGTGCTGTTGATGATAACAATGTACAGTACTATTTTATTTCTATGTACTATGTTGTTTGTTTTTTGTGTTACTGTGTATGTATGATAAGTAAAATACAGATTGTTGTTGTATAATTGCAGAGGGACAGAATACGTATGTTCTTTCCTCCTACTTTTCAAACGTAGTTATGTATCTGCATTTGTGTGTCATCTTTAGGCTCCACCTGCAGGTCAAACTGTTCCAAGCCAAAATAAAGCCAAAGGCAAACTTTCCTGTTCTTCCATGCTCATGAACTTTGGAAAGTGTTTATTCCTTATTGTCATCATCCCTCCATTCCTTAACTACGCATCACTGCAGAGAGAGGGACAGATGCTCCTGCCAAAAGGTCTGCTTTAGTATTACAAAGATATGAAGTTTAAGTGTTTATCAGCAAGTTATTGAAACACATTCTGTCCAATAATGAAATATCCTCTCTATTATTTTTTCTGTTCAGGTGGCCAGATGGTTGATGTTGGCTCGGGTCAAAAGATGCATCTTTTATGCAAAGGACAAGGGAAACCAGTTGGTAAATACAACGCATCATGTCAACATTCCATATTCAATATACCAGAGCCTCTTGTTATTGGGTCTAAGCCTAACCTTTGTGTTCCTGTCACAGTCATTCTGGATGCTCCGACTGGGATGTCATCAGACATTTGGTTTCACGTCCAAGAGAGTATGGCCACAGTTACAAAGGTGGGATATGATTATAGTGGAGATTCACTGTCAGAGTGGGACAAACTAAAGATACGGTCCTATGTCATTGTAGTGATTACTAAGGAAGCATACAGCAGTTATGAGTAGCTGACTTTTATTTTTAACATCTACACCAATTGATATGATTAAAACCTGTATCAAATATAAAGCTATGATGAGGACAAAAAATGATGGAAGTTCTGGTCCAAATCATGCCCTCAACAAAGAAAATAAACAACAAACTAATTTAATAACAAGAAAAAACTCTGAGTTATTATATAATATTGTCTTGATGTTCTGTATTAGCTGTTGCAGAAAAGGTTGCTCAAAAGTCATCCTTATTAAGTCCATAAGTCACAAACAGTATTTTATTGTATCTTAAGTAATTCTTTAAAGCCCTGTCCTGGTGTTTTCTAGGTTGTATCATGTTTTATTGCTCTGTGGGAGAAAAAACAAATAAATGCACAAGACAGGAAATCAGTATTACAGTTAATTCACATTTATGACCTGATATGTCTAAATGAGTAAAATGCCATGTTTGTTTTTCTTTTCATTAGGAGAATTCCCTTTTGGAAACAATTTTTTTTTGACATGGGTTTATACAAATGTTGTCATTTAATGTCCTTGCTGTCAGGGCCCTGTGAGGACAGGGACTGCAGTGACTCTGGCACATCATCTCTGTTTAATATTTTGATGCCTCATGTCATCTCAAATTAGGTCACTGGCTTATCAGGGACAAGATCCATCTGAACAACTGCATGTGTTTTCACGACACTGTGTGCATTTTCATGCGTCTCTATCAGAAATTGAAGACCAAGAGTGTCCCATCTGTCTGTGACATTGCTGATTAAATCTAAAGTTGCCCATTTTGCTATTCTGTTCAGGTGTGCACCTTTGACAGAATGGGGCTGGGCTTCAGCCAGCGATTGATGCAGGATGAAACCACAGGAACTGAGAGACTTTGGAAAATGTCAACAACTGGGCGGTGAGAGTGTGTTTATTGAGTCATCTCCTGTCAAGAGTGTCAATTCCTGTTTCATAAAATGTTAAATAACACTCTCAAAACATAGATAGATAGATGGCACTACCTATCTATCTATTTATCTATCTATCTGCTGTATCTGTTTTGAGACAGAGACAGAATACAACATTTATATGAAATATTTGATCTATAGTTTCATCTTTTAAGGAGCCTAACCAGAGGTTAAGTCATTTAGACCCTTCTTTGTGTTTTAGTACATTCTCCTTAACTTTCCATCTTACTAAAGACCCTAATAATAAGCTTGTGGTGGTGGTGATGATGATGATAATAGATGTAGCCACTTCCAGTCTCACCTAGATAAATAACTAAACCTTCTGGCCCAGTTCACAGTGTGTCCTGATTTCCATGCAGAGATTGATGACTTTTATTGCCTTCCAGGATGGTGGATGATCTTCACCGACTCCTGCAGGCTGCCGAAATCAACAAGCCCTTCATCCTGGTTGGCTCTGAGCTCGGTGCCCTCAATAGCAGGTTCTACAGCCACATCCACGATGTGTAAGTACTGCACACCAAACACAAATAAACAGGTCTTCAGCCTAATCAAGACTGATGACATCTGCTTTTAAAAAGTGTGTAAAACACACATATTCAATAACTATACCACGGAAAAAATAAAGAAATGTATATTTGTAATAGTTATTCAAGACATTTGCCTGATGTAAAGCACTGAGACTAATTGGTTTTGTATTGAGTTTTATTTAACAAACCAATATTATTATGGGATGAAGGTCTTAGCGTTTTTTTGTTAGGAAATTTCTAAAAAAAAAAAAAATGTGATGCAGTCCTGCTCTTGGTGGACAAAATATATTCTCATGTGCCTCAACTACAACCCCATTACTCAACTGTCTTATAGACAATGTCGTGATTAATGTGACAGGTAGCCTGTACCTCATATGAAAGATTTAGCATTTAATCAGGAACACTGTTAGATCTGTTAGTGAAGAGAATTAAGTCATGATGAGTGGATGTCACGTCTCCAAGTGGAAATATTGCTCCACAAAGTGGTCTGTGTGGTAATAATTCTGTGGGGACGTGGGACAGACAAATCTACAGGACATGACAGAAAGAATGACGCCCACTACCTTAACGTTCATTATGGCTCTCATCAGAAGGGTGAATTATACAGGAGTAGCCAATGAGTCTTTACTCATCTGAGTGCATTTGTGTGTGCCCTCTCATTGTCCCTTAGGCAAGTGTCAGACCTGGTGCTGATTGATCCCATCCCAGAGGACGTTTTCGAGGAGGACCAGTGGAATGAGTACTGGTGAGTTTGTAGGGGGAACCTAGGGCACATGAAGGACAAAGGTGGGGGGAATAATTAAGGGGGAGGGACGTGTAATTGATCAAAGGAATGTAGAGAGGCAGGATGGAATGATAATAAAGCATAAACTTAAAAGAATGGCAAAAATGTGAATGGCAAAAGAAACTTAGGAAAGGAGGATAGGAGCGTGGAAAGGGCGATGGGAGTTCTGAAGGGCAGAGTGGAGCAGATAAAAGAGCGTAGCAGGGAAGAGGAGACAAATAAAACACATGAAGGAAAAGAGTATTCAGATGAGGGTTGGAGACGGAGATGCTAGAATGTTCCATGAATCTTGCTCCAAATGTCTTATTGTTTCTTTATGGTAGAAATAGCTGATTATCTTTGCTGGTTGGGACTCATTAGAATGATTAATTGAAGACCATAGAAACTCATTAGCTGATCACACTCTTTTATCATAAAACAGATGAGGGGTAGAGTGAGGGTTGTGGCAGTTGTCAGGATGAACTGACGTAAAATGTGAACACTTTGCTTTAATCCTTTCGATGAGATACATGTCATGTGGTCGTCACAGTCACATTGTGTATCTCATTATGTAATATCTCATTAATTATCTTGTAAAGAGTCGGATATTAATAACCAGAGTCTAGAGTGAGAAAGCTGAGAAGTGTTAATTATACAACAAACGTCCTCTGAAAGGAGTAAATTAGTTTCTAAATCTTCTGTTACATTTGATGTATAGATAAAGTAGATGAGGAATAACCCACACATCATACCAGTGTCAAATATAATTTACTTTGTTAAAAATCAGATTGTATATGATTTAATATACACATAAAGTTAAACATTTCATTTGTATGAGGCGGTGTAGAGTGGCAGAAAAGTAGGTGATGGTGCCAAAAACTAGAAATTTATGTAAACCCATGTTAGCAAAAAGTTGAAAGTGTGCTCAAACTCATGAAAGATTGTCAGAGATGTAGGTATAAGGAGGAGGGAAAAAAAGAAGAGTCTGAGAGAGGGATCAATGAAGGAACAAAGGATACAAGCAGAGTTGGTTTAAAAGGAGAAACAAGACACACGGTGGGATGGATGGAAATTCAGCTCCTACAGAGAGAAAGGCAGTAATAAACCTATTCACTTCATATTCAGGTTCTTATCTGAGACTGTTCAGTCTTACTAATGCTGTAACCTCTTCGTAGTTGAAGAAGCGTTAGCCACAGAGAAGTCCTGTGACAAGTTCTATTTTTTTTTAGATGATTTAGATTCACTGAGGATTTAAACCGTTGTAATTTAGAGAGTTATTATGTTCTGCGATATGAGGGAAATTGCTCTGGTAGAATCATGTAATTACATTTTTCAGTGTGACCGGTTGATATTAGTTCCACGCTGCAACAGCAGCTCACAGCTTATGTTGGTATGAGCTGTGCTTAATAAGAAATGGATCCTTGAAAATGGCCCTAATTTTTACGTGACCCAAAGTGGAGCAGCAGCATTTATCAGTGGTATGTGTCCAATTATTCTCTGATTAATAGGCGTTCATTTCGCTGAGTCCGTGACAGTGTAGCCACAATTTAATTACTCTGTAGAGAAGCTAAGGAGGAATGAAATGAAGCAAAGATTTAAATTTACTCTGTTAAAAAATGTTTTATCATCTGTGTCAGATTTTCACGGAGGCCCCAGAATAGAAACAGAACAGGGATAAGACTGTATGAAGATACGGGAAAAGCAGCAGAGAAAGAGGCCTCCTGATGTTCATGCATCCTGCTGCTGTTATCAGGGTTGGCCTGAGCCTGACTCTCTCCCCGTAGATGCCTTTCATATTCCTTTGTTGTTGGCAGACATTGCATGTAGGTTGTTATTTCTTTCTTGTAGATATGTTTTCATTAGCCATCACAGGTTTAACAGTATTTTCTTTGAAAGATAAGTAATGCAGAAGGGAGCGGTGTTGCACCTGAGCTGGATTGTGGGAGAACTGTATCAGCTTTGCACTGGGACTGAAGGATTTACACATCAAAGAGCTGCTCATTAACACAAGCTCACTTCCAGAATTAGTTTGGTTACATCCGACAAAATGATTCGCTGCCATCTCCTGAGAATACACTCGTGTGTGTGAGTGTACGTGTGTGTGTGCCTTTGCTTTAACTTTGCTAGTAGAGGTCATCTTTTTTATATAGGATTGTGGCAGTGTCTCAGTTGCTTTCAGATTACGCTTCCTGATGGAAAAAAATGGGAGGCGGTCCATCTGAGATCATGTAAACCCTGGTGTATTTCAGGACAAATTGCATTCAAAGAACTGAAAGCCATCGCTCCGTGCTGTCAGTCCTGGTTTTAGGAGCTCAATCAGAAAAATCTCTACCTGTCTTTACACGAGGATAGACCATCATACTCGTAGCATGATGTAATTGGCTTTGTTCATGTGCATTGCAAATACTGTGTCGGCCCACATTTAGAGTAGGTTTAAAGGATGTGCTTGCGCTTGCCTTGTCTTTTTACCAGGGGAACGGTCTATAGTGTGTTCTAGACAAAGGCAGGAATGAAAGAAAATGTTACTAAAATACTAGATATGAGAAGTGAAAAATACAAACCACTTTTGTTCAAGTTGTCAAAATATTGAAATAATTGGCATCTTATTAGTCTGAAAATAATTATAAAAAATTAAAAACAAGAATGCTAATGTAACATCCTGTCCATTACCTTCTATAAATGTCATCTTTGATTTTCCTCTCTCCTCTCCTCTCCTCTCTCCCTTTCTCTCTTCTCACCTTAAACTGCAATAAGTAAAGTCATGTTTTCTGCAAGCTACCTTCGACAGCTATTTAATCATTCTTCGTAATTAAAAAATATGACTCAAATTCCACAAACATTTAATATCTAATATGAACAGCCTATTATTCATTGCTCTGTGTACTGGGGCTCAGTAACGTCTCCCGGCCTCATCCTTCAGTCCTCTCCTGACTCAGCTACATCACCTACTCTTCCATGGGCTCCGCCCCCCCCTCTACAGAATCTTAAAAGAAACACGAATGCCAATTGTAATTAGCACCGCCGTATGCGTAACTATTGCTGCTACGTTCCACTAATGAAGGAGGGCTGCCACAGCCCCTGTGTGTTTACACCAGTCTAATCTATGGTATGGATGGTGCAGACTGAAAGGGGAGCTGAGAAATGCTGGTACGATGCAAGAGTGACACCCTGTGGTAGTTGTGAACATAGCGCCTTTGAACTACAATTATCCTGTGCAGCATTGTTTTTTTTTTCTGTTTCTGTTTGATTACCCTTAAAGTTTTCTGAAAACAGTGATCCAGAATATTAATTTTAATATAATAATTTTAAGTGGATTTTATTTTGTTTAAAACAAGAGATCAAAGCATCATTTTCCACAAAGGTGAACCTTGTGAAAACGACATCAGTTCTCGTGTGCTGTGTGCTGAAGGCTTTCCAGTTGTATGTTTTTGTTTAGCTGTGTCTGTTTTATAAAGGTCAGATTGAGTTTTATCTTTGTTGTAACATTGTGTTGTCTGTCACTGATAAAGACGGCGTCAAACAGCTGCAGACAGAATGTGGAAAATGTCAAATCGGATCAAAGAGATTTGTCTGAAAAAGTTTCGTCTGTTTATGGAAGTGGAGCTGTGATTTAATCAAAGACAATCTGGCCTTTTAAAATGTATGGATTTGGTATAAAAATAGTGAATGCTGTATCTGCTGAGATACAAGGAAATGAGTTAATGTGTGAACGCTACGAATACATTCTTTACCATATATACATTTAGATGTGGGAACATTATAAACAGTGTTGGGTATTCAAACTCACCACAGCTCCAGTGATATACATATATATAAAAACATCCACAGAGATGTTTGCAAATGTATGTTGCGTAACACCTGTAATGATAGTTAAGCAGGTGAAGATGATCTAAAAAAAAATCTCACAAACAAAAGAGAAATGCAACCAACCAGGTCACAGTGTGCTATCCTCAAGTGTTTTCTACATGTGAAGGATTGCTCAGCAGTGAATATAGTTTTTTGAACCAACTCAAAATTCCAACCTTATAAAACTGCACACGATGCTTAAAACGTGCACTTTCTGGTTGATCCCCATGTAATTGTCCGTGTTAAAATGTTCTGTGCTTATTGTAATAGTTGGCCAACGCTGGTGTAATAGTTCGTGTTTTGTGTGAGCAGGCTCTCAGGTAACATAGGCCCTGCATATAAAATGAGATGGTAATGGGGTGGAGGAGGAGGAGGAGAAGGAGTTGGAGAAGAAGGGGGAGGGGGTGAGTCTTATCACTACAGGGCCAAATTCCGACAGTGAATTGCGCAGTTGTAACAAAAGTAACAGAGCGTCCATTCAGCCTGCACTAATCCAGATGGGAAAGTCAAACAGCAGAAAGTCCACGGCACAAACTCATTTCATCACTTTATTAATTTAGATATTGCCTCCCTGCTCCTGTGGGGAAGAAAAAAAAGAGCCCCTCTGAAATGACCAACATCGGTGAAGGCATTTTGCTCTACATGCCCCCCCCCCACTTCCACCCCCCACCACCTCATCTGCTCCTGTTATCTGTTTAATTCATCCCGCCAATCTTGGCTGTCTTTACCCACTAAATTTCCCTTTGACACGCATGCCTTACTTCGCATAATCCTCACTCCGAGGCAGAATTAAAAATGGAAAAAAAAATAGATGGGAATAGGACAGGTGGCTGGAGAATCCTTGAAATAATGTTCAATGCCAGGCCC